TTATCAAAGTTATTATTTTAAAAACAAAATCAATGGAAAATCGATAGTTAGTGTCATTGCAAGACTGCTTCTTCTGAGGTTTGACAAAGGCCCGAGTAATGCTAGTTTCGCGTTACCCTCTCTTTACATTATCAAAGTTATTATTTTAAAAACAAAATCAATGGAAAATCGATAGTTAGTGTCATTGCAAGACTGCTTCTTCTGAGGTTTGACAAAGGCCCGAGTAATGCTAGTTTCGCGTTACCCTCTCTTTACATTATCAAAGTTATTATTTTAAAAACAAAATCAATGGAAAATCGATAGTTAGTGTCATTGCAAGACTGCTTCTTCTGAGGTTTGACAAAGGCCCGAGTAACTCTAGTTTCGCGTTACCCTCTCTTTACAAAGTTATTATTTTAAAAACAAAATCAATGGAAATTCAACAAAATCATAGCGAATAACCTACCCGTAAATGTCCACCCATTGCTGCTTCGTGAATTGGTGCAAAACCATTCTTATCTTTCTCAGATATCAGATACGATGCTGCGGGACTCTAATACAATGAAAATACGACTGAAGAATGAAGTCTTCAATGTGGGAAAGTGTAGAAAAAACATAAGAGTATGCGCACTGTGCATCGACATCACTCGATATTTGCTGAAATGCTCGTCGTACTAAGTTTCATTTGTATTCAGRATTGAGCCCCTCCGACGCCTCCCAATGTAGTGCTGGCCATTCAGACAGCTCAACGCATCATACACGTCTGTTTTGCCCTCCATCGTCCCCGTTTACCTTCAATATGGCATTAATGGCATTATCATGGCCAACAGCACTGTGAAGTACCGTCTTCATTCCGACGTTCTTGGCTGTTATGTTAGCACCTCGTTCGATTAGCAGCTCCACCGTCTCTGTTGCACCACTTGATGCAGCCATGAACAGRGGGGTACGACGGGACTTGTCGGGAAGGTCAACTGATGCTCCCTAGTCATTAGAATCATTTAAATCCATCTTCAATTGTCATTAATATATCATCGTTATCAGATAAAAATCAAACAAATACGTGAAATGAATATCCTGATTAAGACGTCTCAATCCTTTTTGCCAGACTACATATGTGTAGGGGTACACAGTACCTCAACATTAACCGTTTTAGCACGCAACACTCCTTACATATGGTTATTGTTACTGAAAGAGAACATCGCCTTCAATTCCACAATTCCCATTCCCACATCCCAGGCCCAGCCCTCTCACTAGTCAAAGATTACTCACGTGATCCARTAGGAATGCAACGATATCTCGCTGGTTGCTGACAGCGGCGCGATGAAGTCCGGACATTCCGTTCTTGTCAATCAAGCATATTCGACAAATGACCGGGTCTTTGTCCACTAGTAAACGAACCATTTCTACAGGACCTTGTGAACAAGCCACGTGAAATGCAGTTGTTTTGTCAGTTTTCTGTAAATAGAGTTGATCATATCCTGATATATTTAAACAATCACTGGAAAAAATGCGCGCTTTAAAGGTTGTAAATTTGATGTCTTTATGATGTAAGTGTTGGATCGAGGATATTATGCTGTGATCACTGTTGCCCCCGAAATTGGATGTTCCGAAAAGCAAACAGTCTCCCGATAATGYAGTTCGAGGGCGAGTGTGAAGTTTTAATATCGTCAACTCAKCGCTAGCATACCGTAGTCTCCTCGCAGCCGTGTTTAATTTCGGTCACGCGTCACGCAAGGCTCTCAGTTTTTTTTTATTTTTTAATAAGTAAAAATATAAAAATATCGAATCACAGATCTTGACTTTGTTGACTCAGTTAATTGAAATTCAACACAAACCCGGCCACAGTTAGCATAAARCTACCCTAAAATATAAGGGGACAGGGCAACCGTAACTGTTAAAATTATTGGTGTTATTATGAATGAGATCATAAAGGTTTATAAGTTTGAGACCAAAATATGCTCGTATTTAATCGCTTATACGCAAAAGGTCAAAAGCTGTGTGTGTTTACGTTCTGGTGACGGTAGAGTGATCGCACTTAAACCGTGCAACTGTACAAAAAGTAGTACTGAAGCAAGACGGTATTGAATTCTCATTTGCACCAATTCAATTTGTTTTGCGTACCGCATGTACGATTTGCTAAATACAACTAAATAGAACTATTTAGTTTGTACAGTTGCACGGATTAAGTGCGATCACTCTACGATACGTAAGGGTCGTTTAATAATTATATTTTATAGATTTAGTAACTTAATTATATTCATAGATTATAGCTTTATTGTGCTCAGGGTTCCCATTGATAAGAGATCGATGCACATGCAACTGATGACTGATGGGACCACCCTGAGCATTATAWTAAAYAAAGGTTTATTTATTCATTTCTAACCGAAATGCTCCTAGAGCTTACGCAACCACACGATTTACGCTACTTCACTATTTCGTTACTTAATTTACCTCAAGTTTACTAATTTTAAAAGAGACCGGGCCGGTCACGTGTTTCATATGGACTACGATTTGACAGCCCATAAGCCCAAACTCGGCCGACTGGACTATCAACTCGCAACTTGTTGTCCATAGTCCAACCTTGCAGTACAACACATTTTGGGATTGATAAATGAGTAAACAAACTAGCAAGGTGGCAGGCCTGCGATCATCTCTGACATGTATGCTGATTCCGTTGATAACTTCCAACTATATCGATTTTGCATCACACATTCCTTTGTGAGAATGAGCAAATCAAACTGCGTGACTTGTCCGTATGTGATGCAGGCCAGTACGGGTTGTTCGGACAGATCGGACAAAAGGCGTACTGCCGCTAATCACGAGACCGGAGGTTTCTAAAGTACAGATGCCCGTGAAAATATTGTTCATTTGATAATGTAGAAACAAATATCATTTGTTTCATGGATTATATCGCTTTCCTTCGTTCCAACTTCAGTGTTGCTCCCCAAAACGTTAGTGAGTGTTTCGCGGTCTCCAAACGATAGAAATATAGAACTTAGCATAACTTGTTATATTTTGCTAGCTAGACTCTTTTAAAATGGGTATTGCTGTACACGTGCTGCATGGCATGGGTTCTATCTTACACTCACGACATGTAATTAATATGCGTTTGTGTTTGTTAAATCACAAATTGATGCTCATTTTAGAGCAACTTGCATATCACAGAAAGACAGCTACAGACATGGTGCCATAGTGCTACAAACAAGGTCGTTTCTGCTGTCATTGCTGTATTTAGACAATTTTTAGGATTACTGCTGTGCTTCCATTTTGTTTTCTTCAATACTCTGACAAATACAAATTTTTATTTTGTAATTCACTTGATAAACGAGGAACGACTCAACAATAATCCCGCCATAATTATGAAAGCCGCCATCTGTGCAATCGTCTTTGGGATAATATTTACAATCATTGCAGTTCTTTTGCATGTCCTGGTTCCAAAAATAGTGGACTCTCAATTGAAAAAGAACCTTGTTATCAAAGATGATAACTCCTTGAGGTTCAAGCAGTGGAAAAGTCCAACATTGCCAGTGAGAATCAAATTCTTTGTCTTCAATATCACCAATGGACCTGACATAAAGAAAGGCAAACGTCCCTCGTTGCAGCAGAGAGGTCCTTATGTCTAYAGAGAATACATGGATAAAAAGAATATTTCATTCAACGTCTCAGAACCAATRGTTTCTTACGACCAGAAAAAGTGGTTTATATTTGAAAAGGACGAGTCATGCGCGACATGTGATCCTCACAACGASAYAATTACCACGATCAATGCACCATATGTYATCATGGCTGAGGTTGCCAAAACCTACCCTGRCCTWGCCAAATTTGTGATCAATTTAATRCTAGCTGAGGAAAAGGAAAAATTGCTGATGACCAAAASAGYTCATGAAATAATATGGGGTTACAACGACCCTCTTCTTGAAGCTTTCGCGAAATGGCGGAAAAAGCATAAGCTCTTTTTCATACCTGAAATAGATCCGTTCATGAATTATCAGCAAAACAATRCGTACGATGGTATTGTGACTGTAAATACAGGCGCAARWGATATTTCTAAGGTTGGTGTTTGGGAAAKGTGGAGAGGACAAAACAGCCTWAAWWTWTGGAAAACAAAGTATGCSAATATGTTKAATGGAAGTGATGGGACACAATTTCCACCAGGCGTTAMTCGCGAACAAACATTGTAYTTTTTCTCTCCACAATTTTGCCGCTCTATTTATATCAAATATAACYGCAACGAACAGTTTAAAGGTATTGATGTATTAAAATTCACAACACCAAAGGAATTATTTCAAAATAGTWCCCAGAACCCAGATAATGCYGGCTTTTGTCATCAGCRCTGCTATCCCAATGGTATTCTCAGTGGKRCCAWGCCTGGMTGTGAACCAAATAAGACAGAKTCMCCCATTGTTATCTCAACACCTCATTTCCTATATGGTGGTCCAACTATAAGAGATAGTGTTGAAGGTCTTCATCCAGACAAAGAAAAACATGGTATCTTTTTTTCAATTGAGCCGAAGACCGGTATTCCCTTACAGGCGTTGATTCGACTTCAGGTAAATGCGCACATCCGGGAAATTCCAGGAATTCCTGGGACAACTGGAATTCACGAAGCATATGTTCCAATTCTGTATTTCAGTAATGAAGCTCCAATCAATGATGTGACAGTTGAGATGTTGCGCAAGGATGTGTTTTTGCCTCTTGAAGTTTGTTATGTCTCAGTACTTTGCCTATTTTTCTTAGTGTTTTTAATATTTCTTACTGTTTTCGGGATATCTGTTTATAATTCCAAGAAGAGCATGAAAGAGAACTGCAATGTTCAGTCAGAGGAAACACATCTCCTTTCATAAGAAATGCAATTGGCGTATTACATAATAAAAAATACAAATAAATGTATGGAAAACTAAAAATGAGTTACCTACAATCCCGGACAAAACACTTGATATTCTCTTTTTTAGTGTTGATCCATTCGTTTCCAATTTATTTTCAAATTTTATATTTCATGCAAAGAAAGAATCATAAATAACATATTTGAAAATTATAACATATATCGTTATTTCCTTTTTCTTTTTATACAATTTAAATATTTTATAGATGTTAGAGTGCAAACATTCAATGTGTGCAATACTTTACACTATTAACTACAAATTAGTGTTGATTAAACAATAGAAAACAATAGAATTAGCATAATTTAGCAGTATTTAGTGGTATTTATGTTGCACAGTTTTAGTGCTTGTACTCTATCTCATATTGTTACTGCGTGTTAAAAAACTCTTTTACTAGTTTATATTTTCATAATATAAGTAATACCATGTAAAATTGGGAATACTTTTATAAATTGTATTGTATTGTATTGATACATTTCTTAAAATAGGTTGAATTTCAATGATCTATCTGCGTATTTCTGTGCAAATCTCCCCCTTTCCCCATCAAATCAATGTTAAAAAGACCGAACAATCATGCACACCCTTCAAGCATCACGTCACACACACAGCAATGTTTGGTGGGGGGAGGGGAGGATCAAAATCAGTGATTTTTTAGAGACAGGAGAAATGGGGATATTTTGGAGTGAAAAAATGCTTGTGTCTCAATGAGTTTTGTCCGGRATTGTAGCTCCCTAGATTAAASAAGTTCTTCAAAGCCGGCCAGCTAACTCCTCATTGCAGTATCTTAGACGCTTGATGAAAACGATTCTTGAAGAATTTTAATCGAACGGGAATTATTTGACATCGATTTCGTACTGTATCCTTGTTATTTCGCGAAACTTTGCCAACCCGTAAACATGGAGACCAAAAAAAGTCATTTCATATATTAGTATAAGGTACTAGGTACAAGGACAGGAATATAACTTTTTAAAGAATACTGGTATACGATATTATTATAGATTCTCAACCACCTATTATTTATGATATACAAGGGTGATATAGAGGATATTACATGGTCGCGCGGAGATACGGATAATTTTATAAAGATCTCACGAGTGAGCGTAGCGAATATAATTCATATAATTACATCTGAAAGCAAATTATGTCGTTAAATACCTTTTTTCTTCCTTTATTTAGAGAAACCTCAAATGCGTTATTTTCATTAGTGAAAACTATATCAACTTTACGCAATGGAGAAATATAGGTATTTCATAGATAATTATGTGATAAAATAATTTATTAAAAGGAAATGCGAGTAATATCTTAATTAGAATCATGACATCAATGATGAAAAGAGGCCACATTACCATATTTTTTTAAAAAAACAGCAAATACAAAATAACCCGTGATATTCCAAAAAATGTGCCTCACTTAGAAGCTTTGTAAAATCCTAGTAAGCAGTAAGGTGATTTGTTTGTTTGTTTTCGGTGATTGTGATCTAACTCGTGACCTGTGATTTACATGTGATGCAGCCAGAAACGGGACAGTATTTGCTTTTCAATGCTATTCGGTCTTAGCTTTCATGATGTAATCTTTTGGAACCCATTCGGTGATTATCATAAAAAGATAACAAAGAAGTGGCATTTTTTTCTTTGTTTTCTTCTTCTTTCTTTCTTTCTTTCATTTTAATTTATTTAAATTCTTTGCTCAGGACTAATCTCTTAGCTTCAGTCACGCGTCACGCAACATCCGTCCGAAACTAAATCGCTGCAAATACTAACAGACAGCWATTTAAAGACAATTTGCCAGTATTAATAAACCAGAACGAATTTAAACTATTATGAGACAAAGAAGATATACWCATTAATAAACTATGAATCGGTATAAAATAACAATTTATAAGTGGTCTCAATGGATTCCTCTTGATTGCGCTCTGGTTCATTGATGCTGACAAATTTAGTTTTTGGTTTTACTTCATGGTTGCCCTGCGTCGCTCTATAAATACATCACCACCCAAAGTCAAATTTGGTGAGTGGAGAATTTCTAAAGAAAAACAATACAATTTTAGAAAAGATGTTTTGTGATAAATTGTTTTGTCAGAACTCAGACTATATTGTTATGACAATGTACACGCGCTCTTGTGTAACGCATACTTGCCGTAATTTGCATAGGCGAGACACTCGCATGGTGCTGTCTGTCTCTCATCTCCATTTTATCCTCATGGCTCGATGAAAGTCACGTTTTAAAATCACAACATTTCTTATTTTCTTTACTGTTCTTCGATTCGATATCGTGTTCAGAAAATATTATTGAATCTTAAAGGGTCAAAAAACGTGACCTCCAACTCTTACTGTTACATAACCACCATGAAAGCCATCATCTTCATATTCGTTTGTGGTTTAACAGCAACGATTATTGCAGTTCTTTTGCAAGTCCTGGTTCCAAAAATAGTGGACTCTCAATTGAAGAAGAACCTTATTATCAAAGATGATAACTCCTTGAGGTTCAAGCAGTGGAAAAGTCCRACATTGCCAGTGAGAATCAAATTCTTTGTCTTCAGTATCACTAATGGACCTGACATAAAGAAAGGCAAACGTCCCTCGCTGCAGCAGAGAGGTCCTTATGTCTACATAGAATACATGGATAAAAAGAATATTTCCTTCAACGGTTCAGAACCAATGGTTTCTTACGACCAGGAAAAGTGGTTTATATTTGAAAAGGACGAGTCATGCGYGACATGTGATCCTCACAACGACATAATTACCACGATCAATGCACCATATGTCATCATGGCTGAGGTTGCCAAAACCTACTCTGGCCTTGCCAAATTTGTGATCAATTTAATGCTAGCTGAGGAAAAGGAAAAATTGCTGATGACCAAAACAGTTCATGAAATAATATGGGGTTACAATGACCCTCTTTTTGAAGCTTTCGCTAAATGGCGGAAAAAGTATAACCTCTTTTTCATACCAGAAATAGATCCCTTCATGAATTATCAGCCAAACAATACGTACGATGGTTTTGTTTCTGTAAATACTGGTGCAAATGATATTTCTAAGGTTGGTGTTTGGGAAATGTGGAGAGGACAAAACAGCCTTAAYATATGGAAAACAAAGTATGCGAATATGTTGAATGGTAGTGATGGGACACAATTTCCACCAGGCATTTCTAGCGACCAAACATTGTACTTTTTCTCACCAAACCTATGTCGTTCTGTCTATATCAATTACAACAACAAGCACCAGTTAAAAGGAATTGATGTATTAAGATTCACAGCACCAAAGGAATTATTTCAAAATAGTTCCCAGAACCCCAGTAATGCTGCCTTTTGCCATCAGCGCTGCTATCCCAATGGCATTCTAAGTGGGACAAAGCCAGACTGTCAGCCGAGTAAGACAGAGTCCCCAATTGTTGTCTCAACACCTCATTTCCTRTATGGTGGTCCAACTATAAGAGATAGTGTRGAAGGTCTTAAACCTGATAAAGAAAAACATGGTCTTTTCATTTCAATTGAGCCACTAACTGGCATTCCCTTACAGGCCTTGATTCGACTTCAACTTAATTTGCACATCCGGGAGATTCCAGGTATTGTAGGGACAACCGGTGTACAAGAAGCATATGTTCCAATTCTGTATTTCAGTAATGAGGTTACAGTTGATAAAGCCATAGCTAAAATGCTGCGCAATGATGTGTTTTTACCCCTGGAAGTTTGTTATGTCTCAGAAATTTCCCTGTTTTGCTTGGGTGGGCTATTGATATTTGTTACTATTTTTGGGATATTTGCACGTAGAAATTCTTGCAAGAAAAGGAAGCTGAAGGATGAAAGTGTGCAGTCAGAGAAAACACCTCTCCTGGCATGAGAAATTTCCATTCAATTTTCATGATATGTTCAGCAAAAATTTTTGTATACAACATTTTTATATAAAATGATGATAATAATTATTAAAAGGGAATGTTAGTAATAATAACTGAATAATAATAATATAAAACGATGATACTAAGTAAATTTTAAAACATAATTATAAAAACATAGTTATAAAAATATAGGATTTTCAAGTGTGCTAAAAGTAAGGGATTACTAGTATAGTATATCCCCTTTCTTAAACTGTGCGGATTGTTGAGGGATAAAAAACATTGCATAATTCAGCACTATTTAGATACTAACTAAAGGTTATTCAATGACTAAAGTGCTTGCTCTGAAATGTCTAAATAAGTCACTATTAAAATTTACTTATTAAGGTAGAGACTGTTGAGAAAATATTGCACAGATATGAGATGTGATCATCTGTATTAATTTATCGTAATTTGTATTTCTGATATTCAATGATTACGATGATGATAAGAAAAGGATAATGATATCTTTAAATTATCATTGTGATCGTCAATGGTGAGAAAAGTTATTTTTGTTACGGTCATAGTTAAAATTGCCTCAGAGCAGGGACTTGAATATCAATGAGGATATTTGGMCATTATTTCTTAATTTATATAATTTTTTTACTGATGATTAATGGCCAGGCYATAATTGTGACCTCTAAATATAAAGAGCCAAGTGTTCTTAAAATATCAAATCATCTGKAAGATAACAAACAATATTTTTTAATGGAAAGAAGAAAAGTGAAAGGATTTTACTTTTAGATTATGTGTTATCATAGAGCAGAGTCACTTGAACCATGAAATAGAAACTAATATTTAGTAACTAAATAGGCACTATTTAGACACTATCACTGAACCAGAACAGCACAAAGAGATTACTTTGATTGTTAAAGTGTTCTCTTGGGTATTGCTTATTGGATCAAATATAGTGTTCTGGTTCAGTGCTAATGACTATTAGAAACTAATTAGTGCCTATTAGTTAGTACTTTTTAGTTTTTATTTCATGGTTCATGTGACTCTGCTCTAAGTTCAAATTATTTAATAATTATTATTTAAATGTACCATAATTTGGACTTAAGAAAAGAGAGATAAGAAACAGATTGAATATATGGATTGTAAAATTTA